GACGTAATCTTATATTTTAGCTTTTTTCTTTTCTTTGAAGCGAAAGAGTAAAAGAAAATTTCTTTTTTTTATTCATTTATTTCAAAGTATAGAAAAAGAAACGAACAAACAGAAAACAATTCACAAGCCTTATTCGATAGAAAATCGTTGAACACGATGATTACCCATGTCGACGACATAGAGATTACCATGTCGATCGAAAGACAAACCAGTGGGGCCGTTGAACTGATTTCCTCCTTCTCCTTCGCCATTTCCACCCACAATTACAGTGCCTTGTTTCTTGTCTCCTTGAGTCCAACGCATTACACGATGATTGTGCGAGTCTGCTACATAGAGTGTGCCCAACGTATCAACGAAGATTCCATTAGGATGAGACAATTGTGTAAGAGCATTCCCTTGACCGTGACCTCCAGCGATCACAATGCCTTCTTTTGCACCTTTATTCCATTTCATTACACGATGATTGGAGCTGTCTGATACGTAGACATTCCGTTGTCGATCAACAAAGAGATATGTCGGCTCGTTGAGTTGATTGCGACCACCACCTTTACCATTACCACCAGCTACGAGAGTGCCATTCTTCTCACCCAATTGATATCGTCTTACTTCATGTTTTTCGGTGTCAGAGAGGTAGAGATATCTCTGTTCATCCATAGCCAATCCCCGACAATCAATGTGGCCTGTGAGGATTTCTCCTTGTGTTGCACCACTACGAAGAGACCATCGTACAGTTCTTCGATTATCTCGATCGCAAATAATGAGACTATCCGTCTCTTTGTCGATCAATACATCTGTTGGATAACTCAATTGATGTAATCCATTTCCTTGGCCTTTGCCACCAGCAACAACTTGTCCATTCGTTGTACCACCGTTCTTCCATTGCATGATACGATGATTCCCGTTGTCAGCAATAAACACTGTTTGATCATCATCAACGAAGAGATCATAAGGCCAGTTGAGCTGATTAGTGGCATCCCCGCTCACTTTACTGCCAGCAACGGTTATTCCGTTCTGTACCCATATGGCGTTGGCAGGAATAGTGTGTATAACTATAAGAAATAAAGGAAATCTTCGTCATCTCTCTCACTCACTTGGTAGTCTTAGAAATGTCAACATGGTATATGGGAAAAGAATTCTCAAGAAAAATCTTCACTACTCCGATGTAGAATAGGGAGTTCAATGTTAGAATGATCTCATTTGAAACTAGGAGAAGATTTATGATGGTCTTGTCGATCTAGTTTCTTGTTTTTCTTAGATAAATTCAAGAAAATGCTTAAGAAATTTTGAGGGCGTGGGTGCCCGTGCGTAAAGAGAAGAACAGTAGCCACGCCCACACCCTACTCAAATTAAATATGAAGTGAAAGCTGCTGTTGAGACAAGCATTTTCACACTAAATCCATCACGAAAAAAATGAATTTCTAAAAAGTTATATACACTAACTAAAGTTAACTATTTAACCGTTTCTCTTGAAAACACTCATCAATTTTCGACACAAATATACCCTAATAGAACTTTTCTCATCTATACCATTCGATAGACATTTTGAAGCAGTACAAAACAGGCTGCTCATGAAAGCTAAAAAATATTGACGTGCTAAAAATTGCTTTGGCACACACTTTTTCGACTGCTGATTTTGTCGTTTTCCCCAAATCTATTGAATTACGCTCTGCGAACCTATATTTTTTGTAAAAAATTATGCTTTATTCGGAATCAGTATCGAAAGCTAAGTCTGCTAGACTGCATTTCAAATCTTTTTGAGTAATTTACTTTTCGTCGAAAAAATTGCCTGTGCTCTCCCTCAGGGTTGGATGAAAATATTAATTTCATTAAAACACGATTTCGACATTGGTAATCAAGTTCTAAACGTAAAAAATGTTATTAGAACTCGAAATAGTAGAAGGGTAAACGAAACCGAAGGGGTTTTGGTGAAATTAGTTGTGCCCAACCCTGATGGGGAACACAGGGACATTTTTTGACGAAAATTAAATTACTCAAAAAGATTTGACTAGGTTGAGTTGAAAAAATTGGAATGGGCCAATATGGCACCGTATACGTCCCTGTCCTTTGAAAATAATATAGCATTACAACCGTAATGTGATATGGAAGAAAACGTGATGGGTTGTTAACTTTCACACATTTTTTCCTCCACTAGTCGAGGTCAGTTTGAATTGAAATTTTCAGATCGTTTCATGCAGTCGTTTCTATAAAAATTCTCAGATCAGAACTGAAATTTAACCAAAAACTGCCGTGGAAAAACATTTAGGGCATCTAGGGGACAAGAATCAAAGTTGGATGAAAAACTACATGCACCAGAAGATAGAGCAATTGACGCTCTACAAAACCTATAATACCGATTTTCAGTCAAATTCGGAAGGGATCTGCTATTGTGAGTTAATCTTCTTCTGCAGTAAAATTTAGTGCAGTAGTAGAAAACGTTTTATTTTAGTAGAGCCATTCTGTGTGTTTGATGTTCGATAGAGTTGAGCTTGGGCTATCAGAATATATATAGTTTATTGTTTTGAATGCTAAAATAAAGGAGATAATGTTCTCACAATAAACGGAACTTTTTATTTTCTGCATTTTTTTCGAAAATTCGCGAAATCGTATTTCGGCCAATTTTAACCGAAGCGCATATGCTAGCCTATACGTGTGTAGTGCCAAAATGATCAGCTTACTGAGCTCTACAAACCATGAAAGTTTCAGTCAATTTGGAGAAAGTTGATGTAAACGTAGTACGGTTTCCATGGATTCATCCATACTGATACACGACACAATATTTCAGAATAACAAATAAACTTACACGGAGGCTTGTTCTGTGTCAAAATGGTGGACTTCGCCGTGGAAGCCTGGCACATCTTGCTGTATGATACTGGATAGTGAAGCCGATTTATCTCTGTATTTATATCTGCTATATTAGCCATTGTCACCCTGATATCGTTGTGATCGGGTGGAAGTATTCTTTTTTTCATATCTAATGATTGTTGATAATATTCAAGTGCACGATCGATTGCGTTCATTTTTGTATACACGACTGCAATGTTGTTCAATGTCATAGCAGTCGCAAGATGATCAGATGGTAAGTATAGCTGTTGAATTCTTCGTATATTTTTATAATATTGTAATGCACGATGATATTGTCTACTTTCTGTATATATATTACCAATATTCGTCAGTGTTTTTGTTGCTGTTATATGTTCCTTTCCGTAGTATGTTTCAAATATTTCTATGGATTTCAGATATAATTCAAGTGCACGGCTGTATTGGCCTTTTCGATGATAAATAAGACCTATATTTGTTAATGGTCTTGCGGAATCTTTTATTCGTATTGGTTTATCATTCATCATTAAATCATAAGCCAGTTGATAGTACTCAAGTGCTTTGTCAAGATCACCTTTATTATAATATGTCGATCCAATTAGATTATTAATTTTAGCGATATCATCCTTTTGTGTTTGATCATTTACCAACAAACTTTGAAAATATTTTAACGATTGATCATATTGTCCCATATCAATTAATAATTTACCAAATATGAGTTCAAGACTAGTTTCGTCTTCATCTTTTCTATTTAATTCAATATATTCCTTAGCAACTTTAGATCCTTTATCACTAGCTTTTAGTTTAACTAAGTATAAATTTAATTCTGCATTTTTTTTGGCAGAAATTATTTCAAATGTTGACCCAAGATCGAATAAAACTTCTGCTTCGTTGGGATAATCACTGAATTTTGCAATATCAGCAAAAATAATTGAATCAGTTTGTTCTATATTACATTCAATTTCATAGAGAACAGCAATAGTATCTGTACGTTTGGTCGGTTTTTGAGCGAACGCGAGTGCTTGCTCTTTCGAACGACTTGTTGATAGGAAGCCATTTGTTGAAATTAAACTATGTTCATTTTGTTTTAAAGTTTCTAATTCTTCTTTTTCCATTTTTAGTCCGCGATAAAGCATAATGATTTTTTCACCTTTTCTTATCAATTTTTCATATTCAGTAGAAAGATTCAATGATAGATCAGCAATAAAAAATCGAAATGTATGTAATTGTTCAAGATCTTCAGTTCGTAATACTTTATTGACAGTTTTATAGAGAAATGTCTCTTTAGTATACCATCTGATAGCCATGTTCGATTTATAATCGCGTGCAAATTCACAAATAAATTTTAATTCTTTTTCGTTTCCATAATAATAATATCGACAAAATTCAATCATTTGTTGTTTCGCATGACTATCTCTCGGCAATCTCAAAATGACATCTTTGAACATTTGAAACCATAGAAATTCAGCTGATTCTTTAGACAGATCTCTTGTAGATTTTTGTTTATGTTGACTATAAAAACTAAATGTTTCTAAATGTTTTTCAACTAGAATAATATTTTCTCTCAGAGAATTTAGTAAATCTTGACGTTGGACATAAATTCCAATTAATTTGGAATATTTTTGTATAAGCTTTTCGTATCGATCAGGTTTAGAACAGAAAATAAATATTGAATCAACTTGTGATAATTCATGATTTTTTTCTAAAATCCTTTCAGCAAATTTTCCAGATGTAACAAGAAATATTTTTTCAGCGGTAACGTTTTTAATGTAACCAATACAAGCGTCTAAATCAGTATGAAACACTACACTATTGTTTATTTCTCTCAATTCATTCATTGTCTGTTTCGTGCCGTTAGTTTCATCAATATTTGGATCATACCAAATCAGTGTAATACTTTCTAGATTTCGTTGTGAGCTAGCATTGTTGACTGCCGTAAGCGGCGGGATTTTAGAAGATTGATCAAATGTAGACATGTCGACAGCTTTACTTTTGATTAAGGGCTGATTATCATTATGTTCCTGTTTTTGCGTTGAGTCATTATCATTTTTCTTTAATGGCCCAAGTATTTTTTTTCGATATTGAGGTCGAGTTTTATTTAGCTGCTTGCCCGTAATACTTTCTGTTAGAGCATAGAAAACAAGCTATAGATGTGTTCGAGTTAAGAAAGGATACAGCAGGAAACAATCGAGAAGCACGGCAAAATGCTACGAACTTGGCGACAGGAATGTGAGTGTGAGATTCAATACACACATTCTCAAGATCAGGAGTGGCATGGAGCAGAAATAGCCTGTTATAGGTGAATGTGAAGATTTGGCGAGGTTGATAAATGATCTCGTGGACTTAGAGTAATATTTAGTTAAAAGTTGGGGCAAGGCATGTCTTCTGTCCTTACCCATAACATTGAAGATACAGAAATCCTGCTTTTGTGTTTTTCCAGTGAAAGTGAGCCGTAAATGATAGGCTTTGTCGCACACGCTCTGCTAAGCATGAAAACATATGTTTTATGATACAGCTTTTTGCTAAATGATGAAAGACTTAAGAATCCTGGAAATGTGTCAGAAATCTCCAGCAGAAATCATAGAAATAATGATGGAACTGTCAGATTATTGTGCAGTATAGAGTTTTGGTTTGTGAATAAATTTCAGTGTTAGTGTGTTACTATCTAGGAAGTTTTATCGTCGTTCATTATACTAGTCAGACCTTGCAGCACTTTTGCGATGTAATATTGACAATGATTTTCCAGTTCAGACAATATTTCTTGGTGTTTCTATGATTTTTCCTTCTTAGCTATTCAAGTTTCAAGTAGGAGATATGTCTGACGTGACAGGCCTGTATTAATAATGAGACTCTTCACGATAAACCGATTGACGGACGTTCACGGTAAAAAAATCCGTAGAATACTAAACCTAAAAAGGGTTTATTATACGTTGCACTTTCATCAACCCTTAAGGGTTTAGTATTCTACGAATTTTTTTTACAGTGTTGTGGTCATATAAGTTGGAATGAATTATATCCCCACTAAGCTCTATAGCCTGTTATTTATGGACTGATTTATGAGAATGCTCCGGGGTATTTCAGAACTGCACCGCCGGATTTTGGAGTTTTCTGCACAACAGGGAGGGTGTTTGGGTGTGCAGCCTAAATAAAATTCGTTTTCCCGGGAACCCCGGAAAGTACGTTTCCGAGCGTTCAAAAATCCAAATAGGTTTCCAAGCTGATTCCGAAAACTAGAATACGTTTTTGCACTAATCTCGGATACCTTTGAAAGTTTCGTGGAAGTAAAAAATGAGTTTCCCGGCATCGGAAACCTTAAAAGCGTTTCATCTAGTGACGAACCAGGAAATGCTGAAGGCTATCCGGAAAACGTGATCCGTTTCAAAAAACCCAGAAACCCTGTCACTTTTTCGGAAACTCTTCGGCGTTTTCTCGCTCGTCACTATATGAAACGCTTTTAAGGCTTCCGACGCCGGGAAACTTACTTTTTTCTTCCAAGAAACTTTCAAAGGTACCCGAGCTTAGTCCGGAAACGTATTCTGTTTTTTGGAATCAGTTTGGAAACCTATTTGTGTTTTCGAACGCTCGGAAACGTATTTTCCGGTTTCCCGGGGAAACGAATTTTATTTCGAGCGCGCACATACACCCGCATCCACACCCACGCCCTCAAGATAGAAATTCTTGGACTCCATGGGCTCTGTGATACACATACCCACAACCGAATCCATATATAATAAAAGTAATCCTATTGTACATTTCCTTTACTAGTAAATACATAACACAGTAAACCCTCTCCCGTTATAGAAGACCTCCCCATATTAGAAGATCCCTCTGGAGAAAAAGTTTGTCCGACGTAATAGAAGATTCCGTTTAATTAATAAATTTTTTGCTAATTACGAACTTTAATTACTGGTTCCCATCAAAGAACGTTTGATTCTTAGGATTTTAAGCTGGAAATATGAAGAGAATGTGTTCACCATTATAATGACACCTTTAAAATCCTGAAAATCTCCTTAGTTTTCTGAAAAATCTTTTTAATTATATATTAGGAAAAAACACGGTTCTTAGTAGAAGATCCCTTGAGAAATTTTTACGCTGGAACATAATAGAAGACCCGGGATCTTTTACTTTGGGGGGGGCTTCTATAACGGGAGAGGGTTTACTGTGTTATGTATTTACTAGTAAAGGAAATGTACAATAGGATTACTATTATTATATATGGATTCGGTTGTGGGTATGTGTATCACAGAGCCCATGGAGTCCAAGAATTTCTATCTTGAGGGCGTGGGTGTGGATGCGGGTGTATGTGCGCGCTCGAAATAAAA